GGCCGTCCAAGGTGCCGAGGCCTCCACGGCGGCAACGACGGTCCATTGCAATTCCTGCAGCCGCCTGTGCCGACCGGAAGACAAATTCTGTTGCTAACTGTGGGAGTAGACTGGAAACGACGATCCGTTGCAATTCCTGCAGCCACCTGTGCCAACCGGAAGACAAATTCTGTTGCAACTGTGGGAGTGGACTCGCAAAGACTGCACGTTCCTAATCTTGTGTTTTCAAGGTTGGACGAGCAGCGGGCGCTAACATGTTTGACATGCATGCGAGATCGACCGAAGCATCAGAGTAGTGCTGCTGCTACTGCTGCAAAACAGGGAGATTGGTAGAAGCTCTGCTGTGTCCGCCTCACATGCCAAGCAAGACAGCCCTGACTCGCAGGTCGCCAGCCTCTGCGGTTAGAGGATGTGACGCAGGCCCTGGGGTGAAGGCTTGAGGGTTGTGTACGGGCAGTGGATGTCTAGGGCGTAATCTTCTGCTATCTTCTGCTCAGAGGTGCCCGCATGTAGCAATGGCAAGCATGAGAGTCTGCTGAAAACACTGTCCGCTTCTACCCCAAGCAAGAAAGCCCTGACTCGCAGGGCGCCAGCCTCCGCGCGTAGGCGATGTGACGCAGGCCCTGGCACGGTGAAGGCTTCAGGGTTGTCATCGTGTACGGGCAGTGGATGTGTGTGCTGGGTAGCTTCTGCTATCTTCTACTCACTGGCGCCAGCATGTAGCCATGTAGCAACTGCATGAGAGTCAGTTCCAAATACGCAACACTTCCAGCCTTGCCTTTACATCCAGTCCCCTGCTTGAAGCGAAACGGGCCCTGCGTCAGCCCAGCCGCGAACAGGAGTCTGTCCAAGATAGATGCTACCACGGGGACGGTGAAAGAGTTGCCCAATCCTGTGTTGACTTGCACGACTGTGACCCAGGAGAGCCTCGACATGGACCACCAGCGATTTCGCGGAAGCCGTGGGGAGGGTCACAGGTGACACTCGGCAGACATGCGAGAAACAATTACCCTACTGCTAGACAAGCGAGCATCCGAAACATTATAGCTCTCTTAGGAACACCGCAAAAAAAAAAAACTGACATTCCTCTGAAGGCCTTTCTCTCGGTCGCACGGTTGCGCGGGACTCCACAAACTTGAGGCCCAGGTAAACGCCCAGCCTGTATTCTGGATCAGACCGGAAGCTTTCGTCCGACCTGTCCAGCAAGGCTGCACAGTAGCTCCAGGTGCTTCAGTACACACCATCCCTACTGCAGGCTTTTGCACCGCGCTTGTTTCACGGCCAATCCCAAGCCTCAAAGTAGTAGGTAACACCCGAGAGCCCGACTCCCCAAGTCTCTGCATGCCTTGTCTGAAGTCTCTGCATGCCTGGTCTGTCTGTCCGTCTGTCTGTCTCTCTCTCTCTCTCTCTCTCTCTCTCTCTCTCTCTCTCTCTCTCTCTCTCTCTCAGACGCCAGAGACTTGGACAAACTCACTGCTGATGGAGACTTGGCCGGCGGCCTTATGTACGGTAGCGGCCTGTCATTCTTGTAGAATCCTTGGCTGCCGGCAGACGGCACTTCCCTAGCATCATTGTATATGTGATCGATGCTATAGTTGCTTTCCAGCACAGACCTGCAGGCAGGGGAGGCATCACTGGCCCACGCCTCCTCGTAAGGTAACTGTTTTGGAATCTAACGCACAGTCGAGCTGCCCTGTATGGTGGGGCAAAGTCTATGCGCTAATGATCATGAAGCTGCTGCTCCATGGCAAACACGTTGCGCTGTCCGACCACGATGCGGCCCCTACGGCGCTATTCGAAATCGCTGCGGAAGCTGTGCCTTTTGTCCTAGCTGCCCTTACTGTAGCCACTGTACGCAGCTTGGCACCCTTGAGCGCCACCGCCCGGCAGCCCGGCAGACCGGCGCATGGCCGAAATGCTGGCCGGCACGCCATTATATGGCATTCAGGCGCGTCACAGTGGCCATGTTGCCCTGGCATGGGCCTACTTAGGAGCGGTTTTGCAGGCGCCATACTGGCAGCCCGGCAGGGAGAGTGGGGAGTAGGGCAGCGATCGCCTCGCATGAGGACTTCATGAGCAGTGTCATGGGTGCTTGACCCGCCAGCTTCCATCTATGTTCGGGGGGAATAGATGGAAGCGCAAATAAAGATGGAAGTTTGGATTTCCAACTTTAACATGGATTGCGTTTCTGAAAAGGCCCTTTGGGGATTTCCATGTAAAACGGGGGGAGAGTAACGCCTGCCACCTTCGACAACAGTTCTTGAACCGGTAGCGCCTCCACAAACAATCCCTATTACAGGGATATCATGTCGGCCTCTGTGGTAAAGCGAGAGACAGCACTCTGCCTCCGACTACTCCACGCGATTGGAAACTGCGTTCCCTTAAGGCCACAGATCTGAAGCCACAGTCCCGAAGCTGATTTGGTTGTGTGTGGACAACCAGCACGATCAGCATCCATGTGCGGATCAAGGGTGCAATCATTCAGTTGGTGTGCCGCAATTTGCTGAGACGGACCTCCATGGTCCCGTAGACATAACACATCAACTTGTGTGTCTGCTTATGTGCGTTTCTGGACCAGGTCGTCGCCTGAGTGGCGAGGGTAGAAATGGCAAAAGTTTGGTCTGGACGACATAGCCGTGCATACCGCAACAGCTTCATCAGGATCTTAGCCGAGTCCTGAGCCAGTTCGCCCCGGACTTCCCAGTCCTCGAGCGGCAATGTTTGCTCTGAGACACAGGGACAGTCGGCTGCTTTGAAAGGCTTTGCACCAAGAAGAGACAAAAACAAATCCACCGGATGTCTCGCATAGTCCCCCATGTGAAGGTAAACACAACGAGAGTTTTCGATGAACCTAGTCATGAACCATTCTGGGCTGCAACTATGTATCAGGTGCGGCCGTGGAACTCCACGCCTGCACTGCGCAGTGTGCTTTTCGACCAGGACGAGCCGGAGAAGATGCTGAAACATGACGTGTTTCATGTTTCAAACTGGGCTTGGGCCGTGATACTTGTTGGTTTTGCTGGCTCGTCTTGGGTATTACGACGATCCCAATGGCAATGACGAGGTCAACATCAAGGCACGGCTGAACGGAGCTTTTCAGCACGTCGAACTGTGGAGATTGGCTGCCGACAAGACGGCCGCTTTGCGACACTTTTCACCGCAGCCGTTCAACCTTGAAAAGCTGTCGCATTACGCCTGGAGCACTACCAGAGGCTCAGATACGACGTTGCTGCCAAAGGTACCTGGCCTTTTCTTTTGCAGGTTATATCGAACAGGCCAGGTTTGCCATCCGGGCACGTTCGTGTATACCGGGTTCTCTTGAAAACGGCTACAGAAGCCAAGCTTGCTTTCGAGACAATGTATTCCCACGGACTCTGGCTTCGAAGAACTTGCGCCATTGCTTGTATGCGTGACTTATGCAGGTACTTGGGTACCAGGGCCTCGCTTCGCAGGCTGGCCATGAAAATGCCCTTTTTCGCACTCCCATTCTGGTTTCAAGGTTGTAGGACTACGGAAGGCAAACCTCTTGGCTCCAACCTAGGCTTTACACAATGAGCCCTTCCTAAAAGTATCAGAGGCATCAGCCCAAGAACCTCCCAATCCCCAAACCTTGTTTCGACTCCCTGAGCCTTACCCTTACATTGCATCTTAAAGTTCCAACTCGGATGCCCGCAACCCCCGAAACCTACATGGTAGTGGTAGTGCTCGTTCGGATCTGAGCCACAAAGCAGCAAGGATTTCCGAGCCTGGGCCCGGTACTTCAACCTCAAAACAACGATCCCAAACAACCTGTCACCCGTGAACTACTTCGGAAGAATAGCCCGACCACTCAAAGCCCCAACACCAATAAAACGCAAGTTTGAACCAAGCCCGTAAACCTTGCATTCCTTCTCCCCAACTGTTCAGGATTGATTTAGCACTGTTCTGTCCCGTATAGGGCCCGCCAAAAACTTTTGCCGGTTTGCTTGGCGGCGAAAACTATGGCCGCATGGTTTTATAGGTGTGTTTATATACATATATATATATATATATGGTCACACATGCACTCCTAAACCTAGATCCGGACAACATGTAAGGCTGCATGTTGTCAAGTTACAAGGGTTATATTGCCGAAATCCAGAAAAAAAACGCTAACGAAGATTCAAACGAAACTTCGTGGAAGTTTGGCCTTCGGCCAATATCCAGAATTCCCAGGATTCTGGATAATTGATGTTCCCCAAAATGCTTTAAAGAAAATCGGCGAAGAAAAAAACGCTAGGATTATAGATATTTTTTGATATAAGCCAGGATTTTGGAAAATGTCCAAAAAACTTTTTGTATATTAGTCAAAACCTATATCCAAAATGAAATTTAAATAATAGTTACGATTTTGACTATTTCCTGTGGTTATTTTGCTGGCTAACTCGGACTATGGGGTAGTTAGGTGCCTGACAAGCGGCTGCGACCGAATCTGGACACTTTGCCCGAAATGAGCGAAATGAGCGAACTCTCTCCATCAGTGTCTGACTAAGCACCGCACCCTGCAATCACTCGCCAATATCGGCCATTCACAGCTGCCTGCTGCCACGATGCTGCACAAGGCACTGCTCTTGGCGAGCAGACTTACTTGGTCCTAACGGGCAGTGTTCGCAACGTCTGCAGCTATGAAAGGGAGCATGCGTGTTCACAGTGCCTGTCGCAGCTAGACGCGATCGTGGCGCTATCCGGTTGGCAGGCTCTGAGCAACAGTCGCTGGGCTCCTGGCTTTGGCCATGTTCGCTGGTACCTTGACGCAGACATTGCCAACTGGGCACCGAGCAGACTTGAAGCCATGACAAGGCAGCACTGCCTCACCGAGGCAAATTGCCCAGGCATGGCCGCTGGCAGCATCAACACGGTCCTCTCCGACAGGAAACTCCAAGCAATGGGTGCGCCTAACCTTTGCCGCTCTGGCTTCAGTTGGTCTTAGTGTTCTCGAGGTACTGTACGGGTGCTTCTCCCACAACTGTGCCAGATGCTTCTCATCGTTGCAGCTGAGCCACAGAACTCCACTCAACGATTCCCTGAGGGACTACATCGTCAGGGCCGTGGGTGCCAGAGTAGCTTTGACCGTTCACCATCAATTTGTCTTCGGAGCCCGTCTTGAAGGCAAGGACTTGGATCGGCATAGTATTATTTTCAGCCACCTCAATGCTGCACTGCTCGTAGCTCTGATAGAAACTCCGCGGAAAGCCGGTGGTAGTGATGCACTGGCTTTCTGGCAAGATTTCACATAACCTCACAAGAGTGAACGGCTATGCCCGCACACTCGGCTTTGGTTGCTTCTGTCACTCGCTTCTTGGGTCCAGGCCCGGATGACACTTTCCAGTGAACGGCTGCTCCAAAACTTACCTAACATGTGGCTCGGCATGACAATTTAACACAATGCCCACTGGATGATCGAGTCGGATTCCTTGCAAGCGCGCAGTGAATTACGCGCGAAATCTGACGGCGAGGCACCTGGTGTGCGGCGAGGCCAGTCTGAGAATCTGTGCACTGCGTTTGCCAACCAGAATCTGGCGGCAAAACCTCGTGGCTGTCGGCCCTCCTCGCAAGGCGAAGATTCGATGGTCATCATGGTGCAGCCGTCTTTATACAAGCAAAAGAGTGGTGCAGTGAATGCACGCCTGTTAAAGTATCCCATTCAACGTTGGTTTGATCGCAGAATGGATTTGGCTTTGTGCCAAGACCCGCTGGTAAGCAGAGCATGCAAGCATCCCGAAAGAGCCGAAAACCTCTGACAACCTCTTCCGAGCTTCGAATAGAAATTGCATGTGTCAGCACCGCCAAGGTCGTTCGAGCTGTTGTCGTTGGGGGAAGTGCTTTTGAAGTACCAGGCTGCACCACACTGCTCGTCGTACCAAAGGTACACCGCAGCGGATGTGATGCTGTTCTCGTACTGGTACCAAGGTCTTCCGAGTCGGGTCCAACCCCGCTGCTGGTAAACGCCGCTAAGCAAAGGGAGGCAGCCATTCCGGACCACCAGGCATTCGGACACATTCGCCTCAAAAAGGAAAAAGCCCTCGAAATCAGAACCAACGTCCAGGCTCGATCATGCCTTTGCAACACCTTACACTCAATGAGTTCTTTCACTCCTCTGTTGCCACAGTCTCACCGGAGTTTCAAACGTCTATGCGACATTAAAACTGGCTTCCTGGCTCGGTCCAGTGGCAGCCAACGGCCTTCGAAACGTGTTTTCGACTCCACCTCCCCATCCCCATCCCCGAGCACCCGGTTCCCCTCTTGTGTTCGGATCCCCCCGGGAAACCCGCACACCATATGGACATGGACACCATGACAGTGGAGTTGCCCACCGAGGCACATGTGTGCGAGATTACAGAAAGCAGACCGCCCCTTTGCCGTGACCAAATTCAAGCAGGCGGCAGCACGAGTTGCAGTTCTCGTGGTCGTCTCCTCTGCTCATGATCAATCCGATCACGACTGTAAGCAATGGAAGGAAAAAGGAGACTGCAACAGTTACTGAAGCTGACAATACTAGGGCCTAGGGAGAATGAATGCATATTCGTCTGAAGTGCCATAGATTCGCTTGGATCATTTAGAGCCGTGGGGGATGGAGAGAGAGAGAAAAGAAAAGAAATTAAGTGGAAGGTATGATGAAATTTGAGAGACAGCAGACAGCGCTCATGACTTAAGAACAAGCTGACGGTATGCGAATGAGTCAGGGCCGTATGCAGAAGTGTGAAGGTTGCAGAGAGGCCACAGTTGACAAGCAAGTTCCGGCGTTACAGGTCTAGGAGGAAGCAAGCAAAGAAAAGGAGAGATATGTCGGGAAAGCAGAGCTACAATTTGTCTTGACCAAGTTCAAGCAGGGGGCTGTAACAGTGGTTGATGTGGTCGTGGTGATCGTCCATGTTGTCGCATTCTCATCCTTGGTTAAAGGACTTTGCCAACCACGGAGGCTAAGGACTGCAGTGGCGCTGCACAGCTGTCATCACATCACTTCCAAATTATCACACGGTGTCAGTCTCGGTGTCGGGGTAATGGCACTGCACTTCCACGACCCTGAAACTGCACGGAGCGTCGCAGGCACCCCTTCCGTCCGCATGGCTCTCTCACTCGGAGAGCCCCCCCCTGCTCGGTGAAAACATGTGCGAGGAGGCGCTGCACTGAACAGGTGAGGCTCTTTGGGGTGGGGTCTCTGCGCCTTAGGCTCCACTTTATCCTTGACTGTCGAAAGACTGCCGCGGTAGACTTGAAAAGAACACCCTAGCGAACCTGTCAGAGGAGGCGAACATATCCTGATAACTCTGTCCTCCCCTACACATGAAACTTCAAGGACATATCCAAAACAGAAAAGATCATGAATCATGTCCGACAGCAGTCGCAAACATGGAATCACAGTCCGCAAATGCCTCCACCAAATGCTCTGCAGAATTACTAACAACTTGAAGGACATCTAAACATATCTAGACTGCTTAGGCCACTGGTTCAACTCGTGCCAAAGGGCTGGTGAAAGTGTGACGAAGCCATCAGAGTACGCATCGCCGCAGTATCTGCTCCATGTTGCATTCTGCGGGGGGAGCGATGTCTTGGTTCGTATGAACCTAGGGACGATTCGGATCGACTGGTTGCAAAATGTGTTGCGAGCAGCTTCAGAGCCAGGAAGCATGATCGACTCACATTCGCCATCATTGTCTAAGTCCTGCTCCAAGGATGTGGACGGAGCTGTGTCAAACTTGCCGCTTAACATCCACTGGCCAGGGCTGCCTTTGCCATCACAATCTGGATCGTAGTAGAGGTACAACGTCTCGGTCGAGTGCTTATACAATGGCCTGCTGCTAGCAGTGTAGCTCTGCAGCTCGTATCGCCCATTGTGCTGGGACGGGTTCACGCAGGCACCGTCGAGAAACAAGGCCCCCAGAGCCCCCTCAGCCTGCGTAATCATACAGCAGCAGTCAAATGTGTGCGGAATAGACAACTTAAAAGATCTTCAAGGATACGGGCAGTAGAAGGGGTCTGCTCCGCCCACCGTCAGGGAACAGCCAACAAAGAGCCTGGTGGAGTGGTGCTGGGAAACTAAACTACCTCTGTCGTCATGTGGATGCTCATGGGCCCTGGTTGGCAGCTGGAGGTCCGTCTTTAATTGTTGCATGTGCGCCTAGGCTCGGCATAGCAGCTGGCAAACCCGACAGCATGACTCTGATCCACACATGCCGCCTCTCTGCCTTCCCCTTAGGGTGATTCCGAACCGAAGTGTGTGTGTGTGTGTGTGTGTGTGTGTGTGCGTGTGTGTGTGTGTGTGTGTGTGTGTCTGTGTCTGTGTGTGTGTGTGTGTCTGTGTCTCTGTGTGTGTGTCTGTGTGTGTGTGTGTCTGTGTGTGTGTGTGTGTGTGTCTGTGTGTGTGTGTGTGTCTGTGTGTGTGTGTGTCTGTGTGTCTGTGTGTGTGTGTGTGTGTCTGTGTGTGTGTGTGTGTCTGTGTGTGTGTGTGTCTGTCTGTCTGTGTGTGTGTCTGTCTCTGTGTGTGTGTGTGTGTCTCTCTGGGTGTGTGTCTGTCTCTGTGTGTGTGTGTGTGTGTCTCTCTGGGTGTGTGTGTGTGTGTGTGTGTGTGTGTGTGTGTGTGTGTGTGTGTGTGTGTGTGTGTGTGTGTGTGTGTGTGTGTGTGTGTGTGTGTGTGTGTGTGTGTGTGTGTGTGTGTGTGTGTGTGTGTGTGTGTGTGTGTGTGTGTGTGTTGTGTGTGTGTGTGTGTGTGTGTGGTGTGTGTGTGTGTGTGTGTGTGTGTGTGTGTGTGTGTGTGTGTGTGTGTGTGTGTGGTGTGTGTGTGTGTGTGGTGTGTGTGTGTGTGTGTGGTGTGTGTGTGTGTGTGTGTGTGTGTGTGTGTGTGTGTGTGTGTGTGTGTGTGTGTGTGTGTGTGTGTGGTGTGTGTGTGTGTGTGTGTGTGTGTGTGTGTGTGTGTGTGTGTGTGTGTGTGTGTGTGTGTGTGTGTGTGTGTGTGTGTGTGTGTGTGTGTGTGTGTGTGTGTGTGTGTGTGTGTGTGTGTGTGTGAACCTCCCTAGCACATGGGAGCAGAGGGTCACTCCTACACTGTTTGCAATTTTTGCTTTGCAACTCAATCAGACATTTGACATTTACCGAATCAAATGTTGCAGGGGGCCAGCGCATGGTGTTGTGACGCTGGCCAACGAAGCTAGCAACACCATGGGAAGAGGTTTGGGACGCCAAACCTTGTACCTGCACAAAATTGAGCTGGGGCCCCTGTGCCAGCCCGATTAGAAGGCCCCTGTGCCAAGATTAGAGAGTTTTCAGTTGCCACTTTTGGCGGTTGATTCGACAACAAACAAGTTGTACGGTTGCCACAATCTGACAAGCTTTTGCAACATGAACAACATGCCTCTCTTTTTCCTCTTGCACTCGTACTCTTGGCCGAATCCATCAGTGTGATCAGCGTGGGTCTATGAGACTCCAGAGCAACGGCTTTCCGTCATGGCGCCGTGGTGACCCTCCGGGGAGACCGGTGATGAACCGGGTGTTCAGCCTTCGTTCAGATCGTTCAGATTCTCCAGATGCTACTTTATCTCTCTCTCTCTGATGCTCGCATGTGAGTCTGACATGAGTGCAGGTGCAGTAAGGGACGGCTAATGCAGTAAAGTGCGTCTAGTGAGCAGGTGCTACCTCTCTAGTCTGCCCCGTATTTTTCCACTTCTTTATTCCTCAGGGACTGCAAGGGCATGTGCATCTGACATGAGTGCAGACGTGGTAAAGATGTCTACAGCAAGTGAAGCAGCGCTCTCTCCGGAGAGTACTCGGCCCTCTACCTTCCTTCTCTCCGTCTACGACCTCTCAAATCAGTCCAGCAGGGACAATCAGGACAGCCTGCACTTTGCTTGTGCAACTGTGTGTGTTTCACCCGCTTCGTTGCAGCTATGTGGCCGGATTATTTTGCCGCGCAGCCACCAGCAACACCATATGCACCAACAGCCCGACCGGTGCTTAATCAATTTCACCAGAACACCTGGGTACCGCAGTCTCAAAGCTACCCAGCAATGATGCCAACCGGCATTGCTGCCACTCAGCAGCCCACACTGCCGACACAACCCACTACGATTCCTCTTGAGCAAACACACGGCTTCCCCATGATGCCGTGTGGACACACCGCTCCTATTCCACAGCATCCGACGATCTACACACATCTCAGCACACCACAACCCCAGATGCCACAACAACCTCCACCCCAGCAATTCATGTCACAACACCCCACACCGTTCATGAACCCTGCTCTTTTGCCTACCCATCCAACAGCTTTTCCCATGAGCCCATCTGCTTCGACACAGCATCAGGCCCAACCTACCACATTCAACTTTCCTTTTACACCACCTGCCCCACAACCCCAACTTGCACCTTGCAACATCCCTCCCACACAACCCATTCAACAATCCCACATACCGCCGCCAACAACAATCCAACAAGCTCCACAACCCCACCCCACCAGTGTTCCCACTGCCGATGCTGCACACACTGCCCCGCAGACACCGGCAATGACGCCCCAACAACAACAACCAACAAACACAGCCAACACCCCTTCCGTCAATACAGTGCCACCCGCACAACCACCCCCAGATACGGGATCGGCAGACACTGACCAGCTCGCAGCCCGTACTTCTCCCCATCACCCTCCGCTGCCACGCAGACGACGGCATTCACCCACACGCAGCAGAACTCGCACCGTGAGCACTAGACGCCGTCGACACACGCGCAGCCGAGCACGACCTGCAAGCAGCGGCAGACAGCACCGCCGACGCAGACACCATCGATCCCGCGACACTCGCAGAAGCCGTTCTCGCAGGGACACCAGGCGAGCTTCATCGACACCTCCTCGGACCTCGGTTGTGCTCCGCAGCTATTCTACAGTGCGTGATGATGATGCCAACAAGTGGCATTACAGAGCCACACAGCCACGTCAAAGGCCACCTACCCCACCCAAGGTCCCACAAAAAACATTGGCTTCGCAGGTTCAGCGCATCGCCCTCCGCATCAAGGGCAGCCAAGCAGCACAACAGCAGCCCCCAACAAGCCAGGGCACATCCTCGCGCCAACAGCTTCGGCACAATCCCCCCAGCTCTGTTCGGACACCTGCTCCGACTTTCGATGCATCCACAACTGCTGCCCCATCGGGTCAGCCAACCCTCGAACAACTGGGCAAACAGAGCAGACCACCACAGATTGATGTGGCGCCTTTCTCTGAGCTTTATGATCATGAAAAGCCGACACCCCACGCTGTCGACTTGGAGGAAGCGCACAAACTCGCCAAAACTTTGGGCGAGATAGCTGCTGACAGCGATTTCAGGCAGGAGACTTTAGCCGAATTCGCGCATGCCGTATTACAGTCGGGCACGCGCTCAGCGTGCAACGAATTGGGAGCAACGCTGACGCCAATATCGGACGGCGTGCATACTATGTTATTCATCCCGTGGGCTGGTGAGACTCGCAGAGCATTCGGCACTCGTGCCACTGACCCACCAGGGGAAACATACATCTACACCGCCGGACACGGCACGAGCATTGCAAGTGCCGCACGCATAATGCGTGAGGACTTGGTCCGCCCAAGTTCTGTCAGCCATTGCTTCGACGACAAGTCCTATCCACCCATTCCCTCTTGCGTCATATACGGGAATGCGACCCCAGGAGATGTGTCGGAAAGCACGGTACATATAGTTACCGATCAATGTACGCGGCGGCCCAAGGGCCAACAGGGAGTGATCGTCATCGGGACAATACGGACTAAGTATCAGCATTACAAGATGACGTATCGGGACATGTACAGAGAAGCCTTCATCGTGGGGCGAAAGGGTGTTGTGCGGACCCCGGAGAAGTGGGGATTCCATTCCGGGCACTTCAGCATCGTTGGATTCGGCCTCATTCAGTGATGTTGATTTCTTCTTCTGTGTCTTCCTGTAACTCTCTAGTACTTTTTCTTCCAGGCCTGAATCCCTGTACACATAGTCGTTTGCAATCAGGCATTTGCTCCGACCTCGCTTTTGAGCCAAAGAAGACTCGATGCAGCTGCATGCTGGATGCCTCGCACAAGTTGATGTTGACGCTCAAGCCAACCAGGTTGATCATGCATGTTCCATGTGCAGCTTTTGCAGTCACAGGCAACTGTAGTGCCCCACTGTGCAACCATGTACAAGCCGACACAGCCTCAGTGGCATACAACAATGCCAACAGGCATCATCGGTACAGCAATCAGTACCGTGCAGAGACAAACAACCTCGACCAGCAGTACCCCATTGCACCCGATCTCCCCACCACCAGGGATACACAACATCCCACCACACACCTCATCACCAATCCCGACTACTTGGGGTTCAGCTCACATGTACAGCCACAACAACACGTTCCCACCTTTCCCTCCACCCCCTCCCCCACCCCAACAGTTTCCCGGACCAATTCCGCCCACCACACTGCCAACCCCCACACCTGCCACTCCCCAACACACATTTGTGAGTCCATCTCCGATGACGACTCGAAACCCCAGCATTTCGTCACATACATTACCTCAAGCCACCGTCGCAACCCAACAACAGCAACACCCCAATCCCACGCCTGCAAATCCCCAGATACCAAACGACTTTGTTCAAACACCGGAGCATTGGGACAACAGGCAGCTTTTTGGCCTCAACCTCCCCAAACACATTCAATCTACACCACATTCAGTGCATAACCGCACAGCAGGCATGCCAATCGCAACAGCACCATTGGTCGCATTTTTGCGACACAATTGGTCCTCGTACTGGCTACGGTACGCTGCACATGGCTTCGACATCCATCTCACATGCAGCAAACACGTCAGCGAAGCCGTTTTTACCACTGAACTTATGGGTCAACTCCGAGCAAGGAGAATTGATCTGGACCAAGCGGCCACTGCATTCTGCTGGC